GTTACTTATACTGGCAGCTTTATTAATGTTCAGTAGCTAATAATTCTAGCAGAACCAACTCTCTGGTATTCATGATACCTTTGAGATGTCCTTCACATTATGGATGAGATATTAATTTAGTTCCGTGACAGTGATCACTCTGAATCATTACCCCACTAATTAATACTCAAGAATGATGGGTAACAGAGAGTTGTAAACTTGGTTATGTGCTAAGTATGACTGGAAATAAGACTATTAGGTAGAATTTAAATGCTTGGTCCACAATTATTGCAATACTTTACCAAGGAAAGTAAGATTAAAAATACTCACCATAACTTATTTTAGAAAGATAACAGATCTTTTCACCGAAATTTATAGTCCATCTAGGGAGAAAAGATTTGGCTTCCTATAAGCATATGGCATGATTTAAGGGTCTACTGTCCTCAGAATAATATATTTTGATGCTGTCTGTAGTGTAACATGACATTAATTTCTTCCAGGGTTCTGAACACTGATGAGGATGAAGTCTGATGAGGGTGGGAAGGTAGGGGCTGGGGCCTGAGCTCCTCTGTGAGAATGGAATGCTGCCCTGGCTGAGAATAAAACAGTGTGGCCACCATTGATTTCTGGGCCCTCCTCAAAAATCTGAATTTGGAATTTGCTAATTACACTTTTCGTTCACCTGGTACATTTTTTGGGCAATAAAAGTTTTGAGTCAATCTCTACAATACCCCCGAAGAAAATTCATTTTGTTTATCACTGAACCAATCTATACTGAACATGTACTGCATTCTAGATGTGGTGGCAAGTGCTAAAGACACAGACAGGAGGGGGCAGCAAGGGGATCCCGAGGTTGAGCCCAGTCTGACTGACCTTGCCACTTAATGAAACCCTGTCTCAAAGTAAAAAATAAGGAAAGGGCTGGGGGCGTGACTCAGTGTGAAGGCCCTGGGTTCAATCCCCAGCACTGGGGAAAAGAGAGAGAGAGAGAGAGAGAGAGAGAGGAGGAAAGAAGTCTTTGTGAGTTGTGATCACAAATACTGTACAGTGACTGGTGCCACCGAGTGCCATCCAAGGAAAAGGCAGCTCATAAAAACATCACAGCGTGTTCTCATCCACCTTATTCACCAAATCTGGCACCATGCTACATCTGGCTCTTTCCCAAAGTGAAAATGACCATGCAAACTAAATGTTTTTTTCCTTTCAGGTTTTTCACTAAGTTTATTGGTACGTTTTAGGTATAAAATACAGTTATATTCCTCATTGGGATCTCGTACCTTTACATGATGTATCTTGGTTTTTATTTTTTCCTCATTCCCCTGCCCTCCCTTTGCCCCCTCCATCCTTCCCAATTGTCAATGGTGGAAGAGAGAGAGGCCCATTTCACACAGAAGGCCATTCACGTCGCTTCCTGTCCCTCAATGCACCATTCCTCGTGCTCTGGCGTCTTCATCAAATGTGCTGACAGATGCCTGCAGAGCAGGTCAGTGAATCCCTGCACCTGGAAACTTGGCTGTGGGCTCAGCCTATCCTAGAACAGGGCTAAGCACACCTGGCCTCACCCTGATGGAACCATCCTAGGAATGCTCAGGGCCACTGCAGCTCATGGGCATTTTACAAATGTGGAAGTGAAGACTTCTACAACATAGTCCTTGAATAACTTGCCCAAGGTCACTGAGTCTCAGTGAGGTCAGATAACTTTCTAAAGGTCACACACATAATCCTTAGTGGCAGAAATGCTTATTTTCACCTACACACAGCTCTCAAGAGAGAGTGGCGGACAGTCATTACTCATTTGATCTGGACGAAGCACCTGCTTTGTGCTGGGACAATAACACCTACTGTCCTGTGCTCCAGGGCTCCAATTTCTGTGTCAAGCACACACAAGTCTCTGGCCTCACAGTCCTGTGGACTCAACCAGCTCAACAACATCTGCCATCTTACAAAATCATGCCTAACGACTGGGGGTCCTTGGGATATTGCACCTCTCAGGTTATGACACATGCATTGTAATCCAGCTACTTTCAAAACGAGGCAATAAAGGTAGGATGGTTAGACTAGTAGCAGGGCTGACTTAGAAGCTCATTTTGGATTCTCTGAAGCAGATATTGTTTGCAGAAGCAGACGGTATTGTTTGTATGATGCTTATGAGAGGATTGCAAAAGCTGCCTTTTTTACAGTCACATGGCAAGTGGCTTTGCCATGTTCCTTATTATTTTGGTGTGGGTGAGGCTTACACTAGGCCTTCAGGAGGGAAGGGCTGAGTCTTATTCTTTGAATCCCAGCCCCCCAAATTCTCGGTATCTTTCAGAGCAACTCTAAAACAATGCTTGGGATCATATAAATTATTTTACATCTCTAATAATATTATATCCCTAAATTAGTAATATTAATGATACTAAGTAATTGTTCCTGTTCACGAACTGTGTGTGGGGCACTGCATCAAGCACTCCACACCCGCTGTCTCATTTTATCCTCACTGTGACCTCTTTGCTTTTCTTATTTTCTTATCCCCATTCTACAGATGAGAAGAACAAGGCTCAGGATGAGAGTTGGCAACTGGTGTCTGGTGGCTCAGCCAACATGTCCTGGAAGCGGAGAGGAAAGGAGCTGGGCAATCAGACTTCAGTGCTCCTGGTCTCCCCCTCGCCTTCCCAGGCAGGGAGAAGGATGGAGAGCACTGCGGCCTCTCTGGCCCCGAGTCTTCCCATCCAGATGACACCCGGCCCGCGCCCCCCCGCCCATAGATCCCAGGGCACAGGGATCTTTTTCTTGGATGGGGAAGTTTCCTTTTGAAGAGTTCTTGCTAAAAGCGTCTTGAGCAGACAACTACTGAACCTTAGCAATGGCAGCTGATGAGCAGAAATCCAGGGGTGGGGCAACATATGGCACATTGACATTATCTTAATTTCCTTGTTAGTATCACTGCATAAATTGTTTCCATCCTACTGTACACGAAGTCGTGATGAACTAACTTTGAATAAGAGAAATGACAGGTTAACTTGCTTTTCATTTCTTTTCCATAATAAATGGAATATGTTCTCGAACACTCTAAGTCATTAACATTTCAATTTATTCATGCTTTTTCTTCCTGTCGTCCTAATGGCAATATTGCCTAATTATATCTGCCCCACAGCCATCAAATTTGATGGCTCTTTGCAAGTCCGTAAGTGCCTCTCCCACTGCCTTTGTTGGGCTGGGGGTCTGGGGAGGCTTTGCTTTTCTAAACCATTCTACCTATTTTTGTGCACAGGTTGTTAAGCAGGGAAACAACGCCAGCGGATTAAGTGATGAGGAACTGGGTAAGGATCCAAGCTACCATGTCTCACGCTTGCCATGTTCCAGGCTCTGTTCCAAGCCCATCACACGTATTAACTCATTCAATCCACCCACGACTCTCCGGTACAGTCTGTTACCGTCAGGGCATCACTGGCACAGATAAGGAGGACACTGAGACAGACTCTGGGCTTTGACCTTGCAATCTGCCTGCCGCGCAGGACCCGCTTAGCCCCTATCCTTGCCTTTCCCTCTCTTTGTGACCTGACTCTTGCATATGCACTGGCCATGCTGTTGCTGTGTTGGATCTTTGGGTTAAAAAGAGTGGAGAAAAGTAGAACATGGTGATGGCAGCACCTTGGCTTGAACACACCAAAACCATGTTGAAATTTCATCCTGATTGGGAGGTATTAAGAAACAGGACAGGGGACTTTCAAGAGGTGATTAGGTCAGGAAGGTTCTGCTCTTGTGGACGGATTAAGGGGTTGATGGGTTATTCCAAGGGAGAGTCTGTTATAAAAGCCAGTTGGCTTCTATGTGCCTTGTGCATGTCCCTCTCACCAAGTGATGCCTCGTGCTACCTCAGGACTCTCTAGAGAGTTCCCAGCAGCAAAAACGTCCTCACCAGATGCAGCCCGTTGGCCTTGGACCTCCCAGCCTCCACAACCCTAAGTTGAATAAACCTTTATTCTTCATAAATTATGCAATCTGTGGTATTCAGCCATAGCAACAGAAAGCAGACTAAGACCTGCATGATTAAGTACCCTTTTTCATCCTTGCTTTCAACATTGAAATTGTAGCTTTTGATTTATGACTTTGGGCTTTTGAACTGTTAAATTTAAAACACATGAAGTTTTAAACCAGCAAAGGTTTAAAAACATTTTTTTTTTGAGGTCCTGGGGTTTAAACCTAGGGCCTTCACACTGAACTACATCCCCAATTCTCTCTCTCTCATCTATCTATTTATCAATTATCTATCTATCATCTATCTATCTATATCTATCTAGGCTTTGAGACATGGTCTTGTCCACTTGCTCAGTTGCTGCCCAGGAGTGAACCCATGAGCAGGGTATTGAGCATTCCTGAAACCCGAGATGTTTCTGAGTTTTTTGGCCTCAGTACTTAATTACACATGAGTTCTCAAGCGTGCTTCTAGCAATCAGGCCCCAGTACTGCTCACTGCATCCCTGGTACTCACCACACTCTGCCTGGGCCTCGGCAGGAGCAGAGATGTGTGCACGCTACCTCTGCAGTGGTAAAGCATAGTAACTGTGCCTGAGCTTTGGGCCTAAGTATTGCAAACCTAGGGAACTGACATGCAAGAAAAAGAGGCTCAAAGAAATCTTTCAATTTTAGAGAACAGGCTTCACCATCAAAGGAAATGCCCTCTTTAACTCATTAAAAAATTACCACATTCCTTTCAAATGAGAATAAAACTAGTATTTCTTAATGTTTGTTCACTGTTAATATTATGCCAATTATTGCATTACTTTTGGATGATAAATAGTCACAGGATGAATGAAGCCCATAAGATGAATTAATTCTCCAGAAGTACAAACAAAAACTTTCAGTATTTTATATCACATAATTAAATGCAGTTTGTTGTTTCCAGAGCCAGAACTTGGGACATGCTAATTAATCGCTTCAAGAAGACAGATATGTTTCGTGGTTGATATTCCGAATGAGACTATTGATAAGCCCTACATAAGAGCACTGATGAATTACACTTGCAGAATAAATCCTACCTGCAGAAGTCCGGGGGCACCATGCCATACACATTGATCCTGTCACACAGCTCCAGTGCAATTGTCATCGTGAACCAGCCAGTGCTGAGCCAAGTGTTGGAGATCTTCCTGGAAAGAGGTAAAGTCACAGTTACACCCACAACCTTCTGAAATCCTTTCCGGAGTTCGCCTGACCATAAACAGATGCACACACACACATCCTCTCTCTCCATTTGGTCAGTATTGGGATGTTATCAAATCAAACTCTCACACCCATATCTCTATATTACACCGCACCATCATAACTGATACTCATGCTACGTCATGGCGGATCTGTGACATGAAGGTGTCCTGCTCATGGGACTTCTAGGTCATCAGAAAGATGACTAATGTTTCACCATTTAAGTGAATTGTTAAGTCAATTTTTTGGTCAATTTTTTTGTATGATGACAATATTTATGTGACAATTCTAAAATACTTGGGTGATTAGAAATTCTCCTACTCCAAACAGGCTACGTAATAAATTAATAATTTAAATGATTAAACATGTACATCTATAATCTATCCATATCTGTCTGTCATCTGTCAATTGATCTATTCATAGACTGATCAATCTTAAAGTCAAAGCTTGCCTTCAATGGACTTAATAGCACCAGCAGATTGGCTGAATGTCTTTCCTTTGGAGAAGTACACTTTTTTGGGTGGGGGATGAGATAGACCATGGAAATGTTTATATTTAACTGAGTATTTGCTTTATTTTTCCCTCAGAACATTCTGGGGCCTCTGAAAGCTTTCATTAGAAGCTAAAAATCAACAAATATAGAGCGCAAATCTGTACATTCCACTATTCTTTAACTGCCTTTTGGATTTCTGTCTTGAGCTCAACAATGTGCCAAGCCTAGGGCGGATGGTGGAGACAGCATCCAGGTTTAATTTGACCCTGAGAGAACAACTTGTGGGTCTACTGTACTATGCTGCTGTGGATATTAATTTCAATTATTCGGGGGTTGCTGCTTCTCCTTTTCTCCAGTGCCCATGGCATGCCTCATTAGCCAGTTTCAAACATCTAATCCCCAAGGTCAGACTTCTGACTTTGCCCAGCCGTAGCACAATACCCATGTGTGCTGTGAACAGCGGAGCTGCGGAAGGGCTTTCTCCCTGCCCTGTGGAGCACCCTCCTTGAGGACAAGGAAGACTGTGTTAAGCAGCACGCATTATTTCCATTTCATATAAGAACAGAATAAAAGAGAGCATTTTTGAGGAGTCTTTTGTTTCATCAAATACCTGACAGGCATGACTGATTTAGTCATCCCTATGTCCTGGCTCCAACTTTCTGGCTCTTAAGCCCTTTGCTCAACTTTCCCCTCCATTTCATTCCATCCACAGCCAGTCCCAACCCATAAGTACAGCGAGTAGCTCCTGAAGATGTAGATGTCATGGGCTCGTCTCTGACCTGGCTCTGCTATCCCAGCCAGATGGCCTGGGGCAGCTCACTGCATTTTCTGACCCTGGATTCCCACCTATAAAGCAGGCCCAGGAAGCTGTCCTTTGGGTAATTTGAGAACTAAATGAGAGAACACCCAGGAAAACATCCAGTGTGCTGTGTAGATCCTCAAGATCCTTCCTCCTCTCTAGTGGCTAGGTTAAACAAACAAGAAAATAATCCACCCATCCTTTTCGGTGGTGCATTTTAGTACCTAAGAAGAAAATCCAACACCGGGGTCTTAAGTGGGAGCCACCACAGCAGTCAGGGCAGTGAATATGAATTCAGAAGCCTTCCACTTCCACAGGTATTAGCAGTCTCCTTCCCACCCCACCAGGGCTGAGTATTCATGAGACCTTGGAGGCTGGAGGGGCAGGAGAGAGCAGAGCTGCCTGAGGGCTAAGGGGCAGGGAGGAAAGTGCCTTCCTCTGAGTTGTAGCCTGTCTTACCCTCTGTGCTGTGGCAACACACTGGCCACTTATTCTTGACCCAGCGTTCACTTCTGTCCTCAGGGTCTTGTCCTGGGACTCATGCCTACATTTCCTATGCTTTTAGAGCTTTGGGAATTGCCAATAGGGGCTGAGCCCAGGGCCAGAGGCTCTCCAAATTTCGGCTCTTTCCTGTGATGTAGTGCAGATCCGAAGCCACAGCCTGAAATAAAGGAGGTTGTGGCTCTGCATAAGAAAGCTTTGTGGGTAAAAATGGGGGAGAATACGAAGTAGAGGACTACAGAAACTCAAGTGAAGAGTTCTTTAAAGTGCCACTTAAAATTCCCCAGACTTCCTAAATAATAGCCTTTTGGAATCATGTGCAGTAGAAAATGCAACTGCTTTGTACTGTCTTTCTAAAGAGACTTGAAGTCTTTTTCCAACAAAGGAATATCTACTGTTTTTACACTTAATCAGCTGTAATGAAAGAATATGAAGAGCTGTCATGTGCTTATTAGGGAAAATGATCAGATATTCTTTTATATGATGAAGTAACACACTGAGCTGCTAATTCTATAGTGCACACTAAATTACAATTAAAGGCCTTTCTGCTCTACGAGAATCTCATTTATAATCTCTATGGAAATATTCTTCCTGCAGTTATTTCATTTATGCTTCCTTTATCTAATTACTATAATATTGGTTCTGAATCATATTTTCCTAATGTACCCTTATTCAATTATAAAGTTATTTTCAAGTACAGTTACTTTCTAATATCAAAGAATACCACTTGGCCATCTATGTCATTTGTCATGCTTCTGAATTGCAGAGTGTTTCTGAACCATTTTTCCTCCACTTTTAAGTAGAGTGAGACTTCGATAAATCAAAATCTATTGAGTTACCCATTTCTTCAAAACAGTAGCCTGAAATGAATGTCCTGATCACGAGATCTGAAAATTAGATATTCCATCCTTCATATATCTTCAGTGCATGCTACTGTTTGGGTTTCAAGCATAGAGAAAACACCACTGCACCCTGAAATATTTTGTGTTTCAAATGACAGAAATGATGTTGTTCTGAAGGGGTTGTTTCTGACTTGGTTCTTTTAGCTTGGAGCAACCATCAGGTTAAGAACATAGACATAGAAGAATATTGAGTTAATAATAATTTTGTAAAGATAATTTCCTAAAATCTGGAGGCACAAAGATGCTGGAAAGGTTAATGCACTCTGGCACTAAACTCTGTTAAGTACGATCCCCTGTGTAGAGGCAGAGGGCCCCGGAGCACGAGGTCTGCAGAAAGGGGCCCAGGAGTCTCTCTGTGAGGACTCAGGTCTCTCCTTTTGGCTGGGAGCACCAGCGAGGCAGACACAGTGAGCAGAGCTTTACTGGTCAGAATTTAGAGATGGGGGGGAGACGTCTTGGCGTGAGGCTGTTTCCCAAAGATCCTAAGTGGCCACAGGGTGGTAAGATTTTGTTTCCAAGTTACCCACTAACAAGTTCCCTTAGGGAGATCTGGAGGAATGTGCAGCTGTCCTGCACCAGAGGCTCAAGGCTTCTTAAATTTAACAAACAATCATTACATTAAAAAAGGGTTATTTTTTATTGAAGAGATAGTTTCTACTTATTTTGAAATTTCAAGCGGTGGAATTATAAACCGTAAACAACTTTCTCCTTCTTCATCCCTTACAAAATGCTTTCCTAGCTAAAGCGCTCATTTAAGTGAGCGGCAGTGTCTCCTGCGAGCAGGGTTGAAGGGCAGCACTTGGCTGATGTCATGGCGGCTTGTGGTGTGGCCCAGACCCTCTGTCTGCCCTGTTGTTCATGCTGACCCAGGTCAGGCGGGCCTCAGTGGAGGGCCCACAGTACCAATGGCAGCAGCATTGCTCCTCATCCCCAACCCGAAGCCCAGCCCAGCAGTGCCAGCCCTTGGTCCCAAGATGCCCAGAGTTTAAAAAGATAGCTCTTCCCAGAAGAGGTGCAGCTGGGGCAAATGAATGTCTAGCTTTAGTTTTTTAAGGAATCTCCGTATTGATTTCTACAGTGGTTATACTAATTTATACTTCCACCAACAATGGAGGTCATCATATCACAGTGATACACACATACGCGTATTTATAGCAGCACAACACACATTAGCTGCATTATGGAAGTGGCTTATATGCCCATCAGCAGATGAATGGATAAAGAAAATGTGGTCTAGACATACAATGGTGTACTCCTCAGTCACGAAGAAGGATGTATTTGAGTCATTTGTAGAAACATGGATGAATTGTTGGGATCATAATGCTAAGTGAAATAAATCAGACACAAAAGGATATATATCGCGTGGATTCTCTTATGCGAGAAATCTAAGATATAAATAGCTTACAGAGCAAAATAAAGGAGACGGTAGGAAAGAGGGAGATAGACTTTTTGGAAATGGGAAGAGGATGTGGGGGAGTGGGAGAGAAAGGGGAATAAAAATGATTCAGATGCCATATGTGTGTGCACCAATTCCCTGAAAGAAGTAATGACGTGTCACAAACATATGCTAGTTTGAAAAGATAGTTCTTCCACACACAAAAATTGGGGGCCACTGGGCTTTGGTCTTTCTTTAAGACTTTTCTGATAACGTGCTGCCTGTGCTGGACAAGTAATGGATTTGGTACTTCATCTTTATTTTACCTATCATATCTCTTTGTGCTAAGAGAAGAAACTGGCTCAGTGACACTTTATAAAATGGTAAATTGCATCACTAAATGTTATGAAAGCACATGTTTCCGAATGAAGGAGAATTAACTGGTGTAGCAGCCCAATGGTTGGTACTCACTGTCCCCTGTCCACACACAAGGCCACCGAGCTCCTAAAAGGTTAGAAACTTGCCCAGTGCTGTTCTACCAGAGAGTGCCAGAGCCTGAGTTCCAGCCGGGAGCTGTGTGTTTGCACCCAGGACCTGCACACTTCTGTCCTTTTCCTCCAGGCTTTGGCTGGCTCGAGACCCTCTTTCGACCTCATCTTATATAAACAACCCTTTCTCCTGAGTGCAGCGCTGGGGGCTTTCCTCCACTCTTGCTCGTCTTTGCTTGGATAAATACTCACTGGCCTGGCTTTCCACCTCAGTTTACCTTTTTGACAAAGCCCTTTCCTTACATCCACCAGTAATTTGCAAAAATCTTCAATTTATAATGAGAAACAGGTTACATCATGATTGAGAGTACATACATACATACACATATATGTATGTTTTTTCATTTTATTTATTTTTAAAGTGTGTAATTCATTAGTTTTTAGTACAGGCACAGGGTTATAAAACTATCACTACTAATTTGTGATCATCTTTCACCACTTAAAAAAGCCTCTCATCAATTTACCTAATGTTTGAAAAGTATTTGAAACAATACTGTGCCTTGTCTGCTTTGTGGGATGAATGCTGATATTGTCTATTCTTTTCTATTCAACAATCTTTCAGTGCCTCTTTACACTGGCTTCTGTGTTTTAATTAACAGTATGGGAAACATTGCCTGAGACCATGCTACACCGCCATTTTGGCCCTCTCCCATGATGCTCAGCACACTGGGCACTGCTGGGTGAATGATTAAGACTATATTCTTAGAGGGCAGGATCTCGTTTTTTACTTTGTCCCCAGCAGCAGGCAGTGATGAGCAAGTAACAGGTACTCGATAAATACCATTTGAATGAATAAATGTTTGGCTTTCGAAGGGAAATGTAAATCCACACACTTCTTTTCACTAAGTATTCACAAAGTAAAATGAAATGTATGAAGGCTACTACGAGCTGTGATCAAACTATATGGTGAATATTTACATTTCAAAAATTACTATAAAAGGCATCTTGACACTAATCTCTTTCAAAAACTCTCTATTTGCTTGTAACACATTTATCCAGTCATTCTTGCAACTTTCTGAAGCAGTTCAGGATGTCCTCTTTCTTAAGGTCTTTACAAGATGTGATCAAAAATACAGTGAATGCTGTTGCTGTGTAACATCCATGGGAAAGGCAGGCTCCTAAAAACATCACGCTATGTCCTCCTCCATCTCATTCACAAGCTGACCATGAAAGGTCAAAATGATCTTCGATTTGGGGCTGGGGATTTGGCTCAGTGGCACTGCACCTGCCTCGCAAGAGCAAGGTCCTCAGTTCAAGCCCTGGTACCCAAAAAAAAGACTTTGAATGTGAAAGGCAAACGTTTTGAATCAAGTCGGCATTGATAAGGCCAGGACAACACAACTAAAGACTCACAAAAGACAAATTCCAGAACTGCTTCAGAAAGTGGGAAGAAGGATGGGGTAAGTGTGTCCAAAGTGAGGGTGATGAAAGGAAATGTGTCTTGTATTCTACTACATTGAAAAAAGTTTAAAATATTCACCATACATTTCAACCACATCTTTTATATTGAACCTTTTACTAATGCAGGCCAGCAACTGCGCAGCCTTTGCTCAGTAGCAGAGATGTGCCGTGGGAACCCCGCAGGAGCTCGATTCAGTGGCGCGGCCAGCGGGACCCCCACACGCCCTTCCGGAAGCTTTGCTCTCAGTGGATCAGCCAGGCCCGCCCGCGCCCTGCACCTGTCTTTGCCGGTCTCCTGCTTGAAGAGCTCATCGAACTGCAGCATCTTGTGGCGCGTGATCATGAAGGCCTTCAGCCGCGGCAGCATCTGGCTCAGGAGCTGCAGGTTGTTGTAGACCTGGCCCTTGCCGTCCCGCCGCATGTAGCTGCTGGGGCCCCAGAAGATGAACACGGTGCCCTGGCTCACGTTGAGCAGGTCGTGGCGGTTGCGGAGGATGCGCTGGATGCTGGAGTGCGCGATGACCCTCAGGCTGGTGCGGTTGCCCACGTCGCGCCCGTAGCCGCGAGTAGGAGCGTCGTTCATGCGGATGACACACTCGGTCTGGTCAATCTGCGGGCCCTGCCGACTGCGCAGCAGGTGTCCTGAGCTGGTCACCAGGGCACAGTCCCTGCAGTGCATTTTCAGGGGCTGGAAGGCAGGGGGAGGAGAAGGTCAGGGTCAGGCACAAAGGATTCCTCTGGTCTCAGGAAGCTACTTCCGGCCTCAATATAAGGGCATCCATCCCTCTTCTTCTCCCGCTCAGGCTGCTGTGACTTCATGGATCCCTACTTTCTTTTCCAAACTGGTGACAGGGGGCGTTGGACAAGAGAGAAAGATAGTTGGGACTGACCAGCTAAACAATGGCTTGGGGCTTCTCTGATTGTAAATGACCATCATGAGGCATTAACTTAGCCCCAGGGTCACTTTATTGATGAGGGTGTTGGGGCCTAGGAAATCTGCCCAAGGACGAAAGACTTTGGAGTAACAGGGTTGTATTTTCAAAGCTAGATCTTTCCAACTCCTGAGTTCCCCAAATTGAAGCCAGGGCTATACTGCAAATTGTCAGGACTCTGGTTTTGATGCTCAAAACTCGCCTCAAAAGGTAAGCCTTTATTAATATTCCTGGACAATGCATAAATGTTTACCCCCAAATAAATGTCCTCCAAGAATCACATGAGACGTGGCCAGCAGATTGTAACCCCTTCGATGCCATGATTCTGAAGTGACAATCAGGATATTTGCTTAAGATCATACATGGAGGAAGTGGAAGAGTTGGGAATTAAACCCAGGCCATGGGATTAACCATGATTCCCATACCTCACAGCAGGATGAGGAGAATGTTGTGGGATGGCTACTGACCCCACTGCATACCCCACCTCTCCCCACCAGGAGCCTGCCGGTCGGGTGCAGTAGTGAGAGGTCTTCTGTCCAATTCCTCTGTCCTTTCGAGTTTCATTCACAGCACACTCATCTATCTGGACCCTTCTTCAGTCCATGATGGTGAAATCTGACTAAGACTTGCCCTTCCTCCTGAGGAAGGGCCACTTTCCAGATCCCCAGAAAAGGGTCTCTATTCCTCCCAGGAAACTGCTGGAAACTGGAAGAAGGAATCCTTCTGAATCCCCTGGGTGAACTCCAGGGTCGAGGGACAATTTCAGTAGCTAAAAGGTAGAGGAAATACTCTCCTTCCCCTCATTTTCCTGGGACATCCCATGCATAAATGAGGAAGAGGGAGTTTATATCAGCGATGGAGTTCCTATTATGTGCCAGGCACTGAACTTGATGCTAAAGAGAAAAGATCAGGGAGATACCTCCTCCTCCAGGAGCACAAGTCCGGGTTGAAGTTGCTCCCAGACAATTCGGAGCCACACAGTAAGTGCGATAACTCATTAGGCACACTGGGAAACGGGGCTGAAGATGAGGGAACATTTGAGCCTGCTCAGATGGGCCAGAAAGGTGGGAGAACAACTAGGAAGGGATTATGCTGTGGAAACCAACAAAGAAGGGAGTGTTCACAGTGTCATTAACTGTGACAGGACGAGACTTGGAAGTGTCCTTTGGTTTTGATGACTTTCACCAACACAGTCTCCATTGAAGAGAGGTGATAGAGACTAACTCTGGGTGGAAGTGAGGGAGGAGAAGCCAAAGCCTGACTGCAAAAGCTTGATAGGGGCTGAGGGTGGAGGGTGGTAGAGCCACAGGACTGACTTGAACACAGGGTGACCACCCGACCTGGTGCGTTGGGCTTGCCTGGGTTTTGACATCCACAGTCCTGCATCCCGGGAAATGCCTTGGTCCCAGGCAAGCCAGAATGGTTGCTCTCACTATTGCAACTAATGGAGAAGACCATTAAAATATTTCTATAAAAGTGATAAAAAGCACCTGTAAATAGCCTGTTACTTAGTAATAAGTAGGGTTTCAGGAGACCAGGAGTTGAAAGCTGACTTTTCCCACAAATGTTAACTAACTTTGTTACCTGTTTAATACATTTTACTAGTTTCAAACTAGGTATGTATGGTGAGATGACACTGACTGATTCATTCATTCATTCAAAAGACCTTTCCTGAGCATTTAATACATCCTCGAGGTTCTGTATAACTCAGTGCATTTTCTTTAAAAGGCTACTCTAAGTTCATCCTAAAAAACCTAGGGCCATGGAAACCTGGCTTTTCTCATTAGAATCTCCTAGAATTATCCTGAGTTTTCCAGTTCTATTTATCATTTCCAGATTGTGTGCTCACTGTTACCGGGGAAACGTTCTGTAGAAGGTCCCAGGAGCAACTGTTTCCCCTGTAATGAATTACTGTGCTGGGATTCTCATTGAGAAGCTTGGTTACCAGGTGGACACATCCCAAGGACCTGGTTCTCCTTCTCTCTTTTCCCCAGAGGACAGTCTCTCAGGGAGACTCAGTGTTCCCCACCGACTGTGTTACACTGGTCCTCTGTGATCACTGGGCACCACCAGATGCTCTGGATCCACGCAGCCCCCCAGCCAGAGGAGCTCCGTGCTGTCTCCTCGGCACTGACACCCCTTCTCTGAGCTGTGCAGATGCCCACACAATGCAGATGCAGAGATGAAGTCTGAATTGCACCTCAAGTCCCTTCGGGAAGTGGTGCCAGGAAGATGACAGCAGCTGTCCCAAACACAGTGTCACCCTTCCAGCAGCTGAGAAGAGCATGTACTTAGGGTGAAACCACTTCCAAAGGAGGAAATGAAGTGCTTCGGGTGCATTCAGAGGGACTAATGATGTCTTGGAAGCAGAGTGACTAAAAATGATACAGTTTGTGTGACCCTGTTTCTTTCTTTCTTTTGGTACCAGGGATGGAACTCAGGACCTTGCACTTGCAAGGCAGGCCCCGGAACCACCCTGCTAAATCCCTGGCCCCTGGGAGACCCTGTTTCTGAGGGTGTGTTACAGTCCTCTGTTCCTGCACCTCTTGGTGCCATTAGACTCCTTGGCACCCTGAGATGAGTGGAAATAGTCACACCTTGTGGGTGAAGATTCCTGATGCAGAATTTTCATGTTGTTCCCTGGAGCACAAGGTCCCTGGGCTGATCGGTCACTAAGCAGAGGACAGGAAGTTTAACCCATGGCTCTGCCCCTCAGCCTGGGGGTGACTATGGCGCTGAGGACACAGGACAGGAGGTGGCCCCCAGTGGACTCTCCACCTAGCAAGACCTTCCCTCCTCTCTGTCTTCCTCCTTGCAGCAGTCAGCCTCCCAGACTCTTTGGGACATTTTCCTTAAAGTCCCATTAAATGAGGAGCTCCTTCCATCGGTAGAAAATGTCCTAGTCTGGTCTTGCTATGTTTCCTCCACCCTGCCCCATAAACAGCCTTTAATTCATAGTGAATAGAAGAAAGGATGGTAGTAGACAATTAAGTGAAGCAAAATCAGCCTCTTGCTTTTCTGTCCTCTGAGAAAATGAACCACTGAAGACAGCCAAAGTGAATATAATATAATTTGTCTCCAAGCCCAGCCCTGGGTATGGGTGCTTTTGGGAGGAGGGGGACTGAGCCATGGAGACCTCTGTCCTAGAGAAGGAGGCTGTGGCCATTTGCCTCAGGGAGACCTCTCAGCCCGGGAGCCATAATGGCTGAAGGCCAGTGCACTGCCTGGAATTAATGGCTGGCTGGGAAAATGGCCCAGGACGCAGTAAGGGCCATTAAGCCCAGCCAGTTATTAATCCCCAGTAAGAGCTTGATGCCAAAGTCATTAGAGCTGTTGGGAGGTGAAAAATGCCCAGGAAAATTCACAGCACATGGAGGAGTTACCCTCTCTTCCGTCCCCTGTGGCTCTGAGCCACTGTCCTGCCCCTGCAAGTGGGCAGGGAGCAGGCAGGGAACCAGCCAGCTGTGCAGGGGCGCACGGGCGTGCACACACACACACACACACACACACACACACACACACAGAGCTTATTGTTCTTGTCATCCCTTCTGCACTGCTATAATTTGTAAGCATTTGCCTTCATCCCGAACCTAGGGCAGTGGGGGCCCATGAATATTTTAGAATGTGTGAATGAGTCTCTCCTTCCACCACCCTTCCTCCCTCCTCTCTACCCCTATTTTTTTTAAAGAGACCAACCAACAAACAAATCCCCAAGCTTAGAGAATAGGGAAGTGCAACAACTTTCATCACTTTCATCACTAACCCCTTTGGGCTGTGGTGACAGGAGCAATTCCTACTGGGGCAGCATGCTCAGGAAATCAAGGTCTGATTTCTGTCACAGCCCGAGGAGCAAGAGCAGATGGAATTCTCTCTGTGACCCCGTGGATGCCTCCAGAGCCTTTCTTGAGAGAATAGACCAGGCCAAGTCAAATTAAACTTGACACCTAAAACACTCGGTGATGTCCTTTCAAACATTTGCAGCCTGGTGGTACCAGGATTAACTTTTTAAAATTCTGATTTAGGGCTGTGGATTTAGCTCAGTGGTTTCGCCGCCTGCTGCACAAGCGCAAGGACCCAAGTTCGATCCCCAGTACCAAAAAAATAAAATAAAATAAAATTCTGATTTATTTGGCAGAAGGAAATGTACCTCAGAGTATAATGCCCATTAGCTCAGTAATGAGACCGGTCCTGCTCTGGGAGCTGCCTGTTGGTCTGAAGCAAACATAAGATATACTAAATGGCTTCAGGTGCTGTGAGAATCTCAGCATTTTCCAATCTGATGTTTTCCTGTAATTACTAGGCTTTTATTAGCTGTCAATCTCAGTTCAGGCTGACACTTGGGTGTAAGCTATGCCTATTATTTAATGTGATTCGCTAGAAAAATGTTATTTTTCCAAGAAGCCCCCCTTCCTTTTATTCAATGACAAGTGCACCCACCATCCTTTAAGGCCAAGAAGTCATCTTCTCTCTACCCAACAGGACTGTCCTAGTTATTTCCTCATTTCGGGGACACAATACCTAATACCTACAACTTGAGGAAGCTCACAGTTTGCAGAGCTTTCTGTCCATAGCTGGATGCAAGGCAGGGTGGCACGGCAAAGCAGCATGACAGAGAAGTCATTCATGGCATGGTAGTGGGAAGCAGAAGGGATCAAGGGAGGAGGAGGGAGACAGACCCTTTCAGGCCACACCCCAGTGACTCACCTCTTCCAACCAGGCTTCACCTCCAAATTACATGTAGCTATAAATTCACTAG